CTCGCCATAGCCCCACGCTGAACTTCGCGCCACGTATAACTTCTATGCCACGTATAACACTTGTTTCGCCGTCACTTGTACACGAGTTAGTCTAGTCGACTCACCATGCCGTTGCCTACCGAAAAAGACGTGCGCTGCGTGCTCAAGCGAGTACAGGTTGATCTCGTCAGAGAGATGCCGTTTGAAAAGGCGCCGTGCCTTCCAAACCCCGCGGAGCTCAGCGAGCAGCTGTTGGTGGAAAAAAGGCAGCAGATGAGGCAGTGGGCTGAGGACACGAAGGCGAGATCAGTGGAAATTTGCAATACGATAGAGGAGGAAATTCGCAAGCCCGCAGTTTGCAAGCAGCTCGGGCTGTGGGAGCTCCTCGGTCAGCGGTTCCATCCCAGCGACCCACGGGCCTGGGATGTTTGGATCACGGGGCTGTCAATGATCGGCCCCTGCGCCGTTGATCCGACATGGTCGCCGCGGAGACGGAAAGACCGCATCTGCGGCAAGGAGAGCGACTTTGAGCCGAGTAAGATCGTGCAGGATCTTCTGCAGGGGAAGCACAAGAAGCCACGGTGGTCGGACCGACGAGGATATTGCGCTGGTGTGGCAACGATGCCTGGACGAGACCGCCGTGGTCCCCGAGTTGGGGTATAACCTGTTGGAAGGACCGTTTGACATCGCAGACAACATAGCGGAGTGTGAAGCTGAGCAGCAGAAGACTTTCTACGCCTACAGGCGCTTTCCGCGGAAACAGCCCAAGAAGACGAGGATGATAGATCCCGCTATCTCGGCGAACAAGTGTTCGCCACTTGCGAAGCGAGTGCCCATTACCAGTGCACTTGATGTGCTGGTGAATGCGGCGGTGGCGCGGGATCCTTCCAAGGCGGGGCAGAAGGTGATCAGGCACACCAAAAAAGCCCTGCAGCGAAACAGGACGGCGGAGAAGAGGTTTGGGGCGCAGTTCCTCAAGTGGACAAAGGGAGAAATCAGTGAGCTGGACGCGGACCTGTTCAAACCCGGCGCACAGCAGTCTCCGTTTGCAGAAAAACCCGCGCTCGCAAGTGCAGCACCGCCTGGCACGAAGAAGAGAAAAGTGGATTGCGGTGGTCTCAACGACCTGGAGGTCGTGCTGCTCGATATTGCAAAGTGCTACAATAATCTTATGATTAAAGTAGCACACCGCAAGTACAATGCGGTCCTGGCCTGGGACCCGTCGCGGCAGCGGTATGCGTTTTTCACTGCTGTGTCTGCCATCTTTGGCAGCAGACACAGCGTGACCGGCTGGCGCCGGCCCGGCAAGCTCATCAGAAGCGTTTTGCGGCTGCACTTCTTGTTGAACTCGGAGGACTACGTCGACGATTGCCCCAACTTCGTGGCGAAGGGGTTGGGGAATCTGGTGCGCGACATTTTGTTGGAATTACTGCAGTTTCTGGGCTTGCCGGCCATGCGCGACAAGGTCAAGGTGGCGGACCTGTTGGAGGTCTTGGGCCTGTTGTTTGACGTGCGGGGGGACGTCCCCACGGTGGAGCTGACGGAGCAGAAGAAGGCGCAGATCACGGAGGCGTGCGATGCTGCCCTCACCAGCATGTTGTTGGACCCAGCGGCGGCGAGTGAGCTTGTGGGACGGCTCACCTTCACGTTGGCAGCGGTGGCGGACAGGGCGCTTAATCCGCTGACTAAGCCCCTGGGGAGGCATTTGGCGAAGGAGGAAGTTGCAGTTTCTCGCGCAGTTGCGGATGCCCTGTACATGGTGAAAAAAGTCATGCAGATGCCGCTGAAGCGGGCAGTTGCGTTCGAGCAACAGTCGCAGGTCAGCCTGCTCATGTACACGGACGCGCAGTGGTCCGATAAAAAAGGCGCGATCGCCGCCGTCCTGGTCAAGGATGGCGAGTTCTTTTGTGTCAGGCAAAACGTGTGGTCCGCGATACTGCACGAGGAGTGCCGGCTGTACCCGATAAACGTTTTGGAGACCGCGGCCGTCCCCCTCTCCTTCATGTTTTACCAGTCGCAGTTGCAGGGGCGCAGGTTCGATCACGCGATCGACAACACCTGCGCACAGTTGAGCCTGCTGGCGCAGGGGAAGAGTGGGAAGCAGAAAAGAATGCTCACGCGGCTGTGCGCGGAGACGTGGACGCTGGCGGCGCGCTTCAGCTTGAAGCCGTGGTTTACCCGGGTGCCGTCAGATTTTAATCTGGCGGATTACCCCACCCGGGACGAGAAGATGGCGGTGCTGCTGCGGGTCTTCCCCTCCTTGTTCAAGGAGGTGGTGGAAGGCTTTGGAGTGGATGCGTATTTTCGGAAGATTTTGTTGGGCGACGTGGCGCCCAATGTCGTCACCACGGCCAACGCCATGGCGTTTGGAGGAGATGAAACTACAGAAGGCGACTCAGAGTCGTCTGTAGATGGTCTTAGTGACTAAGCCTGTTTCCGATCGACGTGCATGATCTTCGTGTATGATCTCGTGTATGATGATCGCTTTCTGCTGGCTTTTTTGTGAAAGTGATTTTTTGGAAATTGTATGATCGTCGTATGCCTGTTGTGGTGATTGCAAGGCCGCTACTTGCGCCGATTGCTCTGTTCAATCGCGGTGCAGGATTGATCGTCTTTCGCGTTCGCGAGGTTGCTGCTCACCGACGAGGTGGCGTTGTCTGTGTTGGTGCGTTTGAGCGGGGCCCCACCTGCCCTCGATATCGCCAGGTCGATATCCGCGCTTGCTGTGCTCGTCGGTGGAGAGCAGCCTCTGCGGGCGCGCTCGACGATCGCGCTTGGGGCCAGGCGGTCTTGTGTTCACCACGTGAGTGTAGAAGTAGGAAGACGGAAGAGGAAAAAGAAGTGGACCTTTTTTCAGCATATCGAGACTCCATGTAGGGCGCCGGACCGGTCAAATCGGACGCCCAATCAGAAGCCCACTGCTTTTCTGCCTGACTTGATTGAATGGATTGCATTACTTTGATTATGGCAATTATTAGTATATTTTCCAAAAATGAAAAAAATTTTTGAAATTGCACATCTGGTGCCCGTGCTGTGAAATCTGATAAGAAATGAGAGTGCTGGGATTGTAGTCAATGGCTTTCCTGTCCAATTTCATTGACCAGAAGGAATTGGGTCCACTACAGAAAAATCTTCTCAATTTGCAAGATTTGCGAAAATTTCAAAAAATTAATTTACGCCCAGATCACATAAAAATCCGATAACGATCACCGATAGAATGTGTTCAATATATAGCTTCTCTGCCTCTTATCATCTATTTGATCAGATGGTCTATACATCAGGAATCTTTATAGTAATTTGGAAAATTTAAAAAAATAAAAAAATTGAGCTCAGTCAAACGCTCAAAAAATATACTATAAAATATGTTAAAAAATAGTGAAGAGTAAACAAAGAGCATCATTATGACACGATGGCACTTAAAGAAGTGCAATCGTCGTGCCTATAAGAGTGGGCTGCACACTTTTCAAAAATTTCAAAAAAATTTCAAAAAGTGACGAGCTGACAGAAAGGCCCAAAAATTGTCTAGATACTGCAAGAAAATGGATATAATGCATTGCCTTTTTGACTTTGTTCAGTTGTTGCACTTAATGGCTTTGCATTTTTACAGTTTTTCCATGATTTTCAAAAATTTACAAAAATTGCACAATTTTTGATGGGATGTCTGGTGCCCCAACTATCAGTGTTTTTTATAATGACAGAACCCACGTTCTTCATAGTAATGATTTTGTAGCCTATTTTGACCTGTAGAAGCCGATCAGATCCGCGCTTGGATTATGGGCCTTCTTTTCCAAATCGCGGAAAATTTCTGGACCTTTCCTAGTCCAGGTGGAACCCATAGGGACAAGCCAGATCGGCTCTTGTCGATGGAAAGGTCACAAAAAGACACTGACTGACCGGCCCAGAGTGCTATTATGGACCGGATTCCGGCCCTTGTATACCATAAAGTGACGCGATGCAAGTACTTTTTTTCTAATACTTTCTTCGTCGGATCCGGTGGTGTCAACCAGGCCATAGGGTGCTGCTGTGCCCACGGCGGGGCGACGCAAGACCGTCCGTAGCCTGCCCGGGGGTGCTACTCTGCGCTAGGTTGTGAAGCCGAGCCGCCGCCGCCGACGCGTGCCACTTGCTGGGCCGGTGTTCGGAATTTTCGGAGATCGGGCCGGGCACTGCAAGCGCGGCCCCGCGCCGATCCCGCCGGTGAAAAGAAGGCAAAACCACCCGCGAACCGCCCCGCTTGCCCGCTTATTCCGGATTCCGGTTCCTGAGCAGCCGAGCCTGCGCGGGCCACTGGACATTTTGCGGCGCGACACGGCCCTGCCGCGCTTGCTGTCTTGTACTCTGCGCCGCCTTTTTGTCGGCCGGAGCCGTGGGGCGGAACAGGTTTTGCAATCAGGAGGGCTCTCCTATCCTCTCGCACCGGGACGCCATGCCTCCGCCCCCCTCCTCCCCGCCCTCTGCGGCCGGTCGGTCGGGGTCCGCAATACAGCGGAAGGCCACTGCGCCTCTCAGGCGCTTCGGCTTTAACCGCGCCTCGTGGTTTTGCATATCGTGCCACGATTCGTTGATTCTGAAGCGCGCTGGCCCGGCCGTATACCAAATTGGTCGCACGTCGTCAGACAGCGCGGCGGGCGTCCGAGTGGAGAAACATTTTGCGTCCTTCATCTGTCTTGCTTTATTCCCGGACGAGCAGAGTAGCGCAAATGCAGGTCCAATTAGTCGGAGGCTTTCTTTTATACGCAACGCAAAAGAGTAGAGAAGCTTTCCGCCTGTTATGTGGTACGACGGGCGCGGCGCCTTTGAAAAAACAAGAGGAACTTCACGCACCCCTTTCCAAAAAATTTCGCAGGATCCCGTTTTCATTTTTCACCCAAAACTTTCGGCTCCGTCACGTCAGATGGTGCGCGCTTTATTTTTCTATTTTTCGGAGATCAGGAACGGAAAATTTTTACTTCAACATGCTCTCAATTTTTCACAACGAAGCACCGCCTCGTACAGTGATCGCCGCCCTAAAACTTAAAATCAGCGACCCTTCCGAGCACTGCCACACCAGTATTAACAACGCCACAACGCCGAAAAGGTTCTTTCTCGCAAGAGAACATAGTCTAGCCCTCTGCTTGCGTTATCTCTCTTCGCCCGACCCCGCGCCTCCAACTCAATATCGATTGTCCTTTACACCATTACAAAATTCATTCAGCAGGCAAGCGCAAGACTTTTGAAAACCAAGAAAATAAAAACCCATGGGCGGCAAGAAAAAGAAGCCCACCGGGCCCCCGCCGGTGTTCGCGACCAGCAGCGTGAAGTCCAAAAAGAACATCGAGGACGAGGCGAAGGCGATCGAAAAAGCCAAGGAGGAAGAGGAACTTCGAAAAGAGCACGAGCGCCTCGCCGCGGAGGAGGCGGCAAAGAAAGCCCTTCTCGGCGACGACGCCGATAGCAAAACCCAGCAGGGAACCGGAAACGACAAAGGCGGCAGAAACGCAGCCGGCCATCAACAACCCGGCGACAGAGCCAATGCGGGCCTTCTTTCCGTCGAGGAGCTCTACGCGCAGCGGGAGACCGAGGAAATTGCGAAACTGGAGAGCGGCACGAATTCCCGACTGCAGCGCGGCACGCACCTGCGACCGGCCGGCGCGGTCACGCTCAGCTCCGAGTTGGAAGCAGGGCTGTTTCGATTTTTCTTGGAACAGGGTGAGAATTTGAACGGCAAATCAAGAACCGAAGTAAACTCAGCTGTAGTTGTGACTCCCACTTCCGGCTGCACTGATGTCCGCACCTTCGACCCCATCGTCCGCAGCCTGTACTTTCCCGACGCGTATCGAATCAAGAAGATGACGTATGAGAAGCTCTCCGCCGTCTACCAGGAACTGCAAGATCTCGGCTTCGCCGACGACCTGATCGAGAAGGGTATGCGGGCCACGTACGGGTACGACCACCGGGCCGCGACGGAGTACCTGACACTATACTCAGAGTTTCTGCTGGCGAGCAAGCAGGAAACCGCGGAAGAGGGTGGTGGAAACAAGGACAGTGGCGGGGTGAGTTCCTCGGCGGAAAGCAGTGGTGCCACTACTGCGCCTCTAGCCCCTGAGACGACCTCCGACACAGTAGCTTCTGCTGCAACTACTGCGGTGAAGATGCAAAGTGAACAAGAGCCGCTAGTAACCACGACGCCCCGGTTTCTCCCCGCGGCGTTGCAGTCCGATGAAGAGCGTACCGCGTTTACTGCGTTCGAGCGGCGCCGGAAGCAGCTAGAAGCAGAGGAACTGGAGCGGAAGGTGGCCGAGGAGCGGGCGGCGCGGCGCAGGGCGCAGCAGGAGGCGGCGCGGAAGAAGCGGGAGGCGAAACGCTTGGAAAAGGAGAGTTGCGCCAAGCAGTGGATTCTGGACAACGTGTCTTCGGAAGAGGAGAATATTAACGATGGAGGAGGGCAAGGTCCAGGCCAACAGCAGCCCAGCAAAGCCGTTGACGAACAAGGGAACGACGTTGAGGAGGAGGACATGGAGGATGTTGACGATGACGAGATTGAAATCGAACCGGACATGTTGAATGACGAAGCGGGAACTACGGCAGACCAGGAAGATGTGGAACTCCCGGACCTCTTTGGCGACGGAGAGCAACAAGAGGAGGCGGGAGTTGTTGTGTCTGAGCTTGGACATGTTCCTACAACAGAAAGCAAAACTGCGACACCTGCTTCTACTAGCGTGGTTGCGACCGGAGCAGCTGCCGCTCTTGTGTCTGCAGCAGCTTCCGACGTTTCGAAGCAGCCGGACCCGGAGGTGCGGAAGGTCCCGATTAAACCTCTCCCGAAGAAGCTGCTGCAGCAAAAGCAGTTCCCGCTAAAGGAAAACCTGTTTATCCACAACAGCTGGACCGGGAAAACGCCGGCGCAAGTCTTGGACAACCTCGTCGCCAAACAGCTCGGGAAGCAGCACCTGACGAAAAAATCCGTGAACAAGCTGGGAGTCGGCCGTGTGCAAATCGTCTGCGGCAGTAGCGTCGTCCACGACCTGGAGGTGCCTTTTCGCTGCAAGAAGAAAAAAGACGCGATTGAGTTGGTCAGCACGTTTGTGTATGCATTGCAAAAGTATCGTACTAGTATAAATTGCATGACAAATTTTGGCAAGAAGGAAATTGGAATTTGTAATGGTGTTTTTCCCTACGAAAAATCATGCACATTTGCAATTAGTACGAGTACGATTCTTTTGCAGTGGATATTGTGCTGTTTCACCTCCAGTACGGCTCGGACTCCGCCACCCCGATGCTGAACAACGTGCAAGAGTTGCTCCCCCCGGCGTTTAAATCCTTCTACAACGACATGGTCCGGAAGCGGGAACAGGAAAGACTAGAAGCCGCGCGGATGCGCATCCGACCACGGGTGAAGCTCTGTCTCGAGCTGTGCGGGGAGGCGAGCGTTGAGGGATTAGAGAAATTTTTGGGCAATGGTGAGTTCGCGGCAGGTGTTTCTTCTGAAGCAGGAGCTACCGGGAACATGATACAGCCGAGTCCTGGTTCGATGTCGGAATTGAAAGATTTTTCCGTCAGCCGCCCAGTGTTTTTCTCCGCGGAAAAGGTCGCGGGGAAGACGAAAGGTAGAGAAGGTAGTGCGACAAAGAAGTCTTCAGATACTATCGAAGAAGCGCCGCAAGAATCAGAGGAAGAGTTCCAGCCCGCGGTCACGTCGGTAAAGCAGAAAGACAAAAAAAAGATCGACCAGGAGCTCGCCGAATACTTCGTCAGCAATCACGAGCGGCGACACAATCTTCAGAGGCAGACTATGCATATTAAGAAGAATTTTGAATCGAAACGTCTTTTTTCCTCTGCATGAAGTTGTCGATTTGCAATGAGCAATTTACGTATTCTAAGTACCGTGATTTACTACAGCGGCACCTGGTCGTCCTACGGCCGCTCATGTTGCTATCATCAGGGCGGCAAATGCCAAACTGTAATCTCATCTTCTACCTACAGATTCTTCTTCAGACGATTCCTTGAGTCAAAATTTTTGCTTCTGCATAATCCGAAGCGAACTTCCGGTAGCGGAATTCAAGGAGGAGATCATTTCTATGGTGAATTCTCACCGGGTTTCCGTCGTGTCCGGTTCTACGGGTAGCGGGAAGACAACACAGGTGCCCCAGTACATCCTCGAGCACGCGTTGCTGGAGCTCTACAATAAGGAGAACACGACGTCAGACGATTCCGACCCGCAAGACAAACCTCTTCCCACCATCCTCGTGACCGAGCCCCGGCGGATTTCCGCGATGTCCGTCGCCCAGCGGGTCGCGCAGGAGATGGGCGAGCACAGTTGCGGCAGCGGGCTGGTCGGGTACCAGATCCGGTTGGAGAAGAAAGCGCACCCGGTGAAGTGCAGACTGCTGTTCTGCACCATTGGGGTGTTGCTCCAGCGGCTGAAGCACGACCCGTACTTGCAAAACGTCACGCACGTCTTCGTGGACGAGGTCCACGAGCGGACCGCGGAGTCGGACCTGGCGCTATTGTTGCTGAAGCGCCAGTTGCCGCGGTCAAAACTGAATCTCTGCTTGATGTCCGCCACCGCGGACTCGGAGAAACTGATCAACTATTTCCACGGCTTGAGCATGGCGACGAAAGAAGACGACAGGGGAGTTGATGTATCATCTCCGGTGGTCTCCCCCCGTGGGATCCAGCTCGGTCTGGAAGGTCCTTGTGCAAGTGAAAACGGCTCAGCGAAAAAGAAAACAGCAATCAGTAGAAAAGATAAACCCGCTGCGGACGAGGACGACTGGGACAACGACGACGACGAGGATGAAGATGGGGAGGAGAACACAAACAGAGCCGCGATGTCACAAAACCCTTCCGCCTCTCCAACAGAAATGGCGCAAGACTGGAGCAGGTCCGCGGAGCTGTGCCGCGTGGGGTTTGTCTCCGTGCCCGGGAGGATTTTTCCGGTGCAGGAATTCTTCCTGGAAGACGTCGTCGAGCAAACGGAATTTCAACTTTCCGAGCAGGAGCGGGACTTCGCCGCGAAGTGGTACCACTCGAAAAACTATGGGAAACAAACAACAAACAATCTCCTCGACGACGACGAGCAGACAGAGAGCATGAAGGCCGACGTGAAGCTCCCCGACACGAGTGGAAAGGACAAATACGGCCAGAAGATTCTTTACAGCCCGAAAACGGTCGAGACGCTGCAGTTCATGGACCACTCCGCGATCAACTACGAGCTGATCGAAGAAACGCTGCGGTGGATTGAGCGCTTATCCACGCAAGAGAAGATCGCACGGCACGAGGGCGCGGTGTTGGTGTTTCTACCCGGTATGCCGGAAATCTCCCGGTGTTTGAACCACTTGTACTCGACCGAGTGGTTTGGCGACGAAAGCGAGTTCACGATTCTCAGTTTGCACTCCCAGTTGTCGGACCAAAAGACCGCGTTCCAACCCGCGGCGAAAGGGAAGCGGAAGATTGTGCTTTCCACAAACATCGCGGAAACGGGCGTGACCATCCCCGACATTGTTTTTGTCGTGGACGCGGGCAAAGTGAAGCAGAACAGCTACCACGAAGCGTCCAACACGTCCAGCCTGAAGGAAGTATTTGTCTCCCGCGCCGAGGCGATCCAGAGGAAGGGGCGGGCCGGGCGCGTCCGGAGCGGTTTCTGCTTCCGCTTGTACACAAAGAGGCGGTTTGACAAGAATTTCCTGCCCGCGCCGGTCCCGGAGCTGCTGCGGTGCAGCTTGACGGAGCCGATGCTTTCCGTTCTCGTCGCGGGGTTTCAACCGACGTTGTTCCGCGACGCGCTGGACGCGCCGCCGGACCAGCGAATCACCCAGGCGCTGTTACTCCTGTGCGACGTCGGCTGCGCCTTTTCTTCGAACACGACCTCGCAGATGACGGCCGCGCTGATCGCGAATTATCTGCAGAATTACACCGGCAACGCGCAGCTCGCGAGCAACAATCTCCAGTTCCAGATCACGCCCTTGGGACTCGCGCTGGCGAAGCTACCCGTCGATATTCGGCTCGGGAAAATGCTGTTGCTGGGCAAGATTTTCGGCGGGTCGGAGTACTTATTGAACACAGTCTCCGCACTATCCAAGAAAAAAACTGTGTTAGTGTAAGTCTTTTGGGAAAACAGCATCACAAGTTTGCTTGCCATGACAGGACAAACTTGTTATGCGCAGATACAAAGGGAAAACACATAGGAAGCGAGCCGGTCATGCATGTCGAGCATGACAAGTGTACCTGTTTGGGATTTTCTGCATCACAGATTTACACTTACACAGTTTTTTTCTTGCATACGCACTGTCCATCGCGTCCAGTAACCGGGTGTACCTCGAATTCATGGACGACGCGAAATATGAAAGTGCACTACAACTCCCCCTCCCCCTCATTTGTGATGCAAAATACCCAATCCACGCTTTCCCTCCTGTCACTATTATGCATGACAAGTTCTGGTAGCCCAAATAGCACTACACTCCAGTGCAAATTTGTCATGCAAAACCGGCATTCTTGCTGATGCTTGTGCTCCCGTTTATGTTATACAAATGATGCTGGGGAGGGGGGTTTGTGCACTGGGATACGAAAAAACAGCAGGCCAAGCAGAAACAAGAATCCTTCTACGAAAAGTTGTGCGGGAAATTCAACGGGGCGATCGTGTCCGACCATCTCGCGTTGGCGGAGCTGCTGTATGAAAAGGAAAAATCCCCCCTCCCCATATCGAAAAGGAAATCTGTGATGCTGGATTTGCGTACACAAATCCGATTTGTATTGCAGGAAGGCACACCGAGCAGATCCCCAGGCTAGGTAGGGGCGTACGGGCCTAGTTGCTCAGCACTGCAAACGGCTGACCTTTCGGCCCAACAGCATGGCAAATCGCTTCCATAATGGGGCGGAAGCTTCTGCCCTTGCCTTCTTGCAAGAGAAATGTGATTTGTGACCTCAAATCAGCAACACAAATTTTCGGAAAGATACCTTTTCGATATGGGGAGGGGGGATTTTTCCTCTCAATATGCTGAGGGATTTTGAAAAACTGGGGGAGGTGAAGCCACAGGAAGTTATAGACAAGGAAGATGATCGAAAAAACTCGTCAGCGAACACTGGCAAATCGTACCAGAAGGAGTCCCTGAGGCAGGCCCAGGAACGGTTCGCCCGGAGTTATTTCGTCAACAAAAGTGCCTTACTGCAGATGGCGGATGTGAAGGAGGACTTGCGAGGCAAGCTGGAAATGACGACGGCGAAAAGTTGTAAAGGTTCAAATAGTATCAGCGCACAAAATTATGAGCCTACCACCGCACAACTTGTGAAAAAGGACCGTCCGGTGCTTGCGGCCTGTCTGGTCGCCGCCGGATTGCGGCCCAACATCGCCTATCAAATGCAAAAATGTCTGGGTCTGGAAACTTGTGATGCTGGTTGGCGTATCATGAGGCGGCCACAAGTGCTGCCTCAGCATGACAAGTTTCTGAGCTTCGAGGTGTTGCCTATTCTGCATCACAAACTGCGTTTCTGCATGACAAAAAAACGGGGATCTTGGGTAACGTGCATGACATACTTTGGGGTCATGCTGGCAGAGCATGACAGACCTTCCATTCTTCCAGACCCAGACATTTTTATAATCCATATCGCCCGGATGGAGCACGCGTCGGCCATGCCGTCGACCGGCAAGGGCGGCGGGAAGCAAGACGGGTCCTCCAACTGGTCGCTGGTAATCTCTATCCTGTGCAAAAGTATCGCACTCGTATTGCAATCATGCATTACAAATCTTCTTTTTAACGTAAATCGCATGATTTCGCATACCTGCGAGGCGCTCGCGCTTTGCGGTCAGGCTTCGGCCAGTTGTTTTGTAATCCAGTTCGACACCTGGTAGCCACCGGAGGAGAAGGGGCTGCTGGGTGGTTGAGTCGGGGGTTAGGACTAGAGCCATGGATGAGGAGGTAATGGCGCCACTGGTTCTTGAATGCCAGAGGCAAGAGGAGACGCCAACGGCAAACTCCCCCCTGGTGGCCGGGCACTGCTAAAACGGGCGGTGAAACGTCACTGGGGGTGCAGAAGTAGTCTAACCGCTACTGCAGAAACATTTACCTTCTGAGAATTACACTACAGTATGTGGGAGGCTTTTACCGCTCACCTTGAGAAGCACACACGTCATTCTTTTTAACGTAAATTTGCATTACAAATTTTATTTCTGATGCTGAGGAAATTAATGCATTTATACGAGTACGATACTCTTGCAGTTCATAATCTCCGCGGGCAACGAGCAGAACATCCGGCTGCACCCGCACAGTTCCTTCCTCCACCAGTCCCGGTTTTTGCAGAACCAGCACCGGTGGCTGAGCTACTACGCGAAAGTGAAAACGAGCAGTTTGTACCTGCGAGACGCGACGGTGATCACCAATCCGATCTGGTTTCTGTTATTTCACAGCGAGGAGTGGGATTTGTACCCCACGCAACGGTGTATCGTGTTCAACAACCACTACACGGGGCTCGGACCAACCTCTAGCAACAGCGCCACGTCCAACGCGCGGGACTGGCAGTGCGTGAGCATCGCGCCCAGCACCGCGGTGATCCTGCGGCAACTGAAAATGCGGTTCGCGCGAGTCTTCCGGGAGTGGGTGCGGAGCACGGTCAGTGAAAAGGGTGCGGCGGGGGGTAGTAGTTCATCCTCTAGTCCCTACGCGAACGGACAACTGTCTCCAGATGCGGATAGGTTGGTGACAATGGTGAAAAAAATCATCGAGGCAAAACCGCCGACGACGCTGAGCTTCTGAGGTCGTAGATAACCCCCAGTTGGCGAGCGGGAAGCTTTGTAAGGTTTTGTCACATGGTCAAACATGCTGCGTCTGTCATTACATACTATGCGCAAGATGAAGACTGTCATTACCTTGAGCGGTTGTAGCCCTGCAGTACTTTTTCAACTTATCGCGTTCATCGACAATCTGGGGCATACGACAAAACAGGAGGTGAATACCCTCAGAGCATCTTCGTGTCGCGTTACAAATGTTCACATATTTTTCCATCGCCAAAAGCCGTCATGAGAAATGAAAGGTCAGAAACGATCCTGAAATGAGGTCTTTACACGGATCGCCTAGTGCAGAAAAATTGAAATTACTAGAGGATCCTGAGTCTTTCCAGCCGATCGCAGCCAAGAATTGATCGAACTCGTGCGCTTCATTTTCGCAACTGCTTTTTTGCTCCGATCATTTTCTCAGAGTCCATGGACCTCTACTTTGCGGGCATAGAAACGCAAAACGAAAAAGCTATATTTATCATGTCTGTACCGATTTTTTTATAGTACTCGAGAATAAACGTGTAAAGTAGAAGACGCTTGTTTCCGACTGTAGATCGCAGATGCGTCATTTGTGAACGTCACCATACAACATTTTCGTCTTTATTCCAACACTCTAATCAGAGCTTCCACTGCTCAAGCACGACACCCTTCGTCTTTTCCATCACACACAAAAAACCTGAAGTAGCAGTACATACAAAAACAAGCACCATGGTTCGCCTAGTTTCCCTCTTCTTCGCTGCAGTGCTAGAAGTCGAGACGACGCCAAAGTGCGTTCGCGCCGCCGGCGTAGTTTCTCTTCCGACTTCTAATTCCGCTGCAGATAAAAGAACCAAGAAACCGTCCGTGATATCTTTGGGCGAGGAGGACGAAAACGGCCCCGGGAGCTCCGGTGAGGAGGGTCCGAGACGCACAACGCGCAGGCAGTGTTCGGATGACACGAGCGCACCCAGTTTGTCCTCGTGGCCGGAGGACCAGGCGGAGCGCGAGACGGGGGACGTAGAGATGAACAATCCTCCGTGGGACGAGTGGATGGGTGTGAACGAAGATCGTACTGTTGTCCGGAATGCACTTTTTAGAGGGTCGTGGAAAGGACCCCACAATTCACCGCTGGGAGAACGAGAGGTTCTTGCAGCTAATCGTTTTCTGAGCGCTACGCCCCCAGCTGACGGCGACTCTCTGGGATCCGGGGGTTCATCCGGAAGATCCGGGCGAGGTTCTTCCTCGGCGCGGTCAGGTAGCAGCAGGTCCAGCAGCAGTGGGCGTAGCAACCGGAGAAAAAGAGCAAACCGCACGTCCACTCCGGAACAACAGATCCGCGCGGGCATAACTGCGATGAATTTACGACCAGCCGAAGATCTTCTCGGGAGTAGTAGAGCGCCGTCGCGACCAGCCCGCGCCGAAAGCGATGTCGCCGAGGACGGTACGGGATGGGAGATCGCACCGAGCTCGAGGTCGAGGTCCGCCAGCTCGTTTGGGACTAGCAGCAGCGAGTGTACCAGCGATGGAGATGATTCTGGCAGCGATTTGTTTGTCGGCGAGGGTTTTCGTTCCAGTCCGGCGGGGGCTCGTGGTCCTTGTTCGACGTGCGCGTGGTGTGCGAGACCGGCCTCCCACGTCCCGGTATTGGCGAACACGTGTGCCTGCGCGTCCAGCGTTCGGTGCGAAGAGTGCCTCCACCAGGCGAGTACCGTTATGTACGCG